AACAATCCCTTTGCCCATAGCATCTAAAGCCTCTTTACCCGCAGTTTATAAAAAGTGTGCTGTTTTGAATTCTTCTTAATCAATAAAGAATTCCTTATAATTTGTTACGTGCCTTGTTGCGCCATCATCAATCCACCAAACACTGGCAGACATGCTCAAATTAACTTCACTCGACACAGAGTGAAGGGCTACTTTTAAATAAGAACTATACGTAGGCCTTGTCGTTTTGCATCTGATATCCATTTTCTCCAATCTTTAACACAATACCCCATTTTCTTGCTGTAGTGACAAGTTCCGCTTTTCTTTTCATTTTTATACCCTACACCATACTATGGAGGGTATATATTTTTTTTCCGTTTGTAACTCCTCGAAATACGCATGTCAGACCCAACAAAGTATATATATTCTTGATCAGCGTAAAATTATAAGTCGATTTAGCGATGTCCGTCTGCCTCTTGTAATCACGCTATCATTCGAACGAATTCAGATAGAAGGCTAAAATTTTGCACACATATTTATTTTGCCATTTGACTATGGTAACGGCTTATGACAAACAATGCGTGTGTAGGTTCACGTCGTCTAGACCCCAATATAACGACTATATTTGCCATTTGGGTATTTTTCTATAACAGTAGTCGACTTCGCTGGACCGTTAGATATTAAATCATTCACAAGTATGGCATTTAAAACCACTAAACTGATAGGAAAACTCTTTGTATTTTATAGCTGACTAATAAGAATTTCTGGTTTCCCCATATCAATAACAAGGTTAAAGAACACGTCCAAAACTGCTTGAAATGCACTGTTTTTTCTCCTAAAAGCGGACGTGTAAAAGGATTTCTACACAACATTCCGAAACCAACGAAACCTTTTGAAATGATACACTTAGATCATTATGGACATGTAGATAGAGACAATTCTAAAACAAATTATTTGTTGTTATTGATGCTTGTTCCAAGTTTGTCAAGCTATACCCTACTAAATCTACCGCCACTAAAGGAGTCATAAATGCATTACAAGAATACTTCCGATATTACAGCCGACCGCGATGTATTGTTTCTGACAGAGTGTCTTGTTTTACTTCTAATGACTTCAAGACAATAATATCCAACACATTAAAATAGCAACCTTCTCCCCACAAGCAAACGGCCAAGTAGAACGGGTTAACAGAAGTTTAGGTCCAATGATTGCTAAATTCGTAGACACAGAAACTATTATTACGTGGGTAAAAATTTAAGAAAAAATTCCTGCCACAGAATGATTAACAAACATCCAAGCGTAATGTTGTTTGGTGTAAATCAAAAAGGGAAAATTCCAGATCAAATTAGAGAAAATATTATGAACGAAAATGATAGAGATTTGAACTTAATGAGACAGCATGAAGATGACAAACAACGTGCCGCACAACAATACAACAAAAATTATACAGACCCAAAAAGAAAAGAACCAATAATGTATAGACGAGGTGATTATGTCGTGATAAAAATATTTACGCTACCAAAGGCCCGTTTGTAATAAAAGAAGTGTTAGAAAATGGTCGTTTTATTTTACAAGATGTACCCCCCATTGGAGGGTATTCTACAGAGTAGATTTATATATATATATATATATATATATATATATATATATATATATATATATATATATATATATATATATATATATATATATATATATATATATATATATATATATATATATATATATTATATTATTTACCGGTATTCTTCCGAGTTCCATTACGAACTTCAAATACCATACTTAAAACCTCAAATTGCTAACTTATTTTATGGAATAACCCCACCCATGCCACTAACTTCCTGTAGCAGACCTGCATAGCGAAGCGCTATTACGGAGGTTCTAGGCCCCCAACTATAATACACGATTATTTGCATAGACAGATTTACCCATAGCACAATACCCCACTTTCGTGGTTTTATGGTATGGAACTTTATATATATATTTGCGTGTCGCTCAGGAGAGCATAATCGCTGAGTTCCACTTTTATTTTTCGGCATCTTCGGGGTTTTAATAGCGTTTTGCAACAAAACAAATGCCAGTCTGAATTTTTTTTATAAAGGACACCATTTCTCATTTTGTAACATTTATGGTTATGGTTTGGCGTGTTTGTTTTGGAAGTTAATTATATCTGTTTTAAAAGTATTGTTGTCCATAAACGTCGACCTAACACATAAATACGTACCAGACATAACTTGTAATCCGTCGCTGTTAAAAAAAAACACGGAGCGCCACATTTTATTTTCCCGTTTTTGTTTAAGCATAGAGATTGGCCTACATGCCTACATACATAGTTTATGCTATATCCCAATTACATTATGCTGCCCCGCAAAAATGTACAATTTGAAATACAACAGATTTAAAAGGCATACGCAGGTATTAATAATCTCCTAGCAGTGTAATGTTATATATACATTATAGAATATTCATTTATAACAACTTATTCTTAAAGTCTAGTGTATTAAATTAGTTTACTTGTTTTTCAGACTCGCTGCACTTCATCATGTCTTTTTTCAAGTAATCGTCTAATATTTCGTGTAAAACTTGGAGAACAATTAAAATGTCTGAAACTTTCTAATATGAATTTAACTTCATATTGCATTTTGGGTACTTCCTGACGTTTCACATCTACATAAGATTAATTTAACAAAATTTTGACGCAGCATCAGTATGTTGGTAAACAAAATTTCCGCATCGTCTATTATTAGACTGATAAAATTACCAGTATCACTAGTACTAAATGCATGTAATGTTCAAATATCTTCCGCCAGAAGCATATAGTCACCTGGATAAAAATTGCATTTAACAAATATTAACTGCACTTCTTATCTGTACACTATTCACGGAACCACTTTTTTCCTCAGCATTGCCTGGGGACATTATGTTTTTCTACCCTCCACCATACTATGGAGGGTATATTAACTTTGTCATTCCTCGAAATACTCATGTAAGACCCAACAAAGTATACATATACTTGATCAGCGTAAAATTTTATGTCGATTTAGCGATGTGCGTCTGTCTGTTGAAATCACGCTTTCGAACGAATCGAGATAGAAGGCTAAATTTCGAAGACATGCTTATTTTGCCAGTGGGCAGGTTAAGTTCGTAAATGGTCCATGTAGGTCAACGTTTTTATATATCCCCCATACAACGGTACCTCCCGATATTCGGTATGTTGATTATTTTAGTGACATTATTCACCGGAATTGTTTCAAATTTGGTATTTGAAGTTCGTAATGAATACCACGGTATATGACAGAAAATTGTCTGTGAAGGTCCACTTCTTCGTATAACCTCCATATAACTGTACCTACCTATATTCGGCATTTTGATGATTTTAGCGACATTATTCACCGGAATTTTTTTCAAATTTGGTATTTGAAGTTCCAAAGGGATAGTACAGCCTAAGACAAGAAATTGACTGCTCAGGTCCACGTCTTCGTATAGCCCCATTTAACGGTATTCTGATGATTGTTTCAAATTAGGTATTTGAAATTCCAAATTTGAAACAATCATCAATTGTCTGTCAATCAAAATTGTCTGTGCAGTTCCACGTCTTCATATATCTTCCATTTAACGCTACCTTCCGATATTCGGTATTATGATGACTACAGCGGATTTTTCACCGGAATTGTTTCAAATATGGTATTTGAAGTTCGTAATGGATACTACAATCTATGACAGAAAGTTGTCTATGCAGGCCCAGGACTTTGTAAAAGCCCTACATATAACTGCCTCCATATATTCGGCATTTTGACGATTTTAGGTACAATACTCACCGAAATTGTTTGAGATGTCGTATTTGAAGTTCGTAATGGATGCTGTAACAGAAAATTGTCTATGCAAGTCCAGGTCCGTTTATTTTAAGTTTCGAATTTGAATATTGCAATGGCTTAAGACAACAATGTATGTCAACGTCGTATTAACCCCAATATAACGGCTATATTCGGTATTTTTAATATTTTAACAGAATTTTTAATGGTTTTTATTTTTTGAAAAATTCTAAATTCAAGAGGTGGAGGTTATTCAAAGTTCGGCCCAGCCGAACTTACTGCTTTTTAACTTATTTTCTGTTACTTAGTAACACGCCTGTATTCTAGTTTGTGGTATCATAATCATCTAATAAGTCTGCACTAGTATCCGTAGATGTTAAAGGCTTAAGACGAGATATTTTGTAGTGGCTTAAATACAGCTAAGTTAAATAGTTCGTTTGTAAAATTGTTTTACAGATGTATGAAAAGCAAAAACTAGCAGATCATTGTCTGCCGTTATGTGTGGCTATACTGAAAATGCTGTGATCGGTCAACCAGACTTCATATAGTTTAACTACGACGACCCAATCTCTCTTGCTCGGGAGAGAATGACAAATTAAGAATCTTAGGTACAAATGCGTACCTGTTTACAGTAGTCATTAACTAAAAGATCTGTACTTTAACTATTAATATACTGGGTTCTCCATCAAATGTTTTGTAAACTAGTGCTTATTTCAGCTTAGCTTATGTCTAATTCCAACATAGTTTTATATACGCTTGGACAACGCTAGGAATTGTAACGACATAACTTTAAAAGTCACGGTAATTTTGCATAACTTAGCACACGTTTTGTAGCTTAGTGGGTTGGAATGAAGAGAATCTTGTAAACTGTCAAAAAACAACAGTGCGAGCACTAGAAAAAATTGATGCTCTTACACAGGGTGTGTGAGGAGCGTCATCAACATCAATTCATAGCCGCAATCTAAAAGACTATATTCATGAAACCTACCAGCCGAGGCAACTACTAGAATGAAACTATATTCCATTTTACCTTGTAGTACAATACATAACTTTATATTTACATATATTAATTCCTCATATTGTAAAAAATGACAACTGAATTATAAAATTCCTTTTAAGTGTTTCTTTGTATAATATATTTTGGGCAATAAAATACAATAATACTAATAATATCAAATTTTAATTATAGTCCTTATTTTACTTTTCCAGTATGGGGATACCCCTCTACACACAGCATGTCGCTACGGACACGCAGGAGTTGCTAGAATATTATTATCTGCATTTTCAGATTGTAATAAACAAAACAATAACGGAGACACACCTTTACATATTGCATGCGCTATGGGCAGACGAAAAATAGCAAAACTTCTTATAAAATCCCATTGTAAAACACAAATAACAAATATCCAAAATGATACGCCAATGGATATAGCGTCACGAAAGCAACATAACGAATTGTTACGGATTATATGCTCTAGCGGGTCGACGCAAGGTTTTTATAAATATATTCTACACCATAAGGAAACTCCAAATGATATTGTGTTTTCTCCATATGGATGTCAGTCTCTTTGTAATTCTCGCCACATATTCTTATCTTATTTGGAGCCGGTATCAAAACTAAAACTTGGAAATGATGAACAGTACTTCTTTGATTTAGCTGGTAACTTAAACAAAGGGCCAAAATGTCTAAATAAATTATGCTATTGTGAACCTGTTATAAAGAAGTCCAAATAAAATGTATTCTTAAAAAAAATTTATTCTTATACTTACTTAAAATAAACGAACAGATTGATAGATATTTATATCTTCAGAGAACTTGAAATACAAAATTACACATAATCTCATTGAGAAATTAGTCTCAATCGTTCAGAACTCTTAAAATCGGGAAGTTAATAATAACAATTTTTGGGAAGAGAACATTTTTAATAAAACGACCCGAAATATTAAAAAAATCATCTGATTTTGTTGGATTGACAGCGGTTCAGGGTAGAATCTTAAAAATACCGACATTTAGAAGAAACAGTTATACCTAAAGGTGGACATACAACAAATTTCTAGACAAATTTAATTTTCCATAAGTATTGTAACTTTTGATTTTATCTCCAAATATGGTTGAACGTCGAAAAGTAAAATGGTCAAGTAAGTATTTCAATCATCTTATTACAGAGTGTATGTTAAGTCTATTATTAAAAAATAAACTTTGATGTTTGCCTTGTTTTTTTGCTTATTCATATCATCTAGCGAACAAACTTACTACAATTGGACAATTTGTTCATCTACATACTGTTTTAGGAGGAAACACGAGTCGACGAATTAATATTCATGAATACAGCCACCAGTTAGTCAACTAGAAACTTTTTTGAACTACTTTTGTTTGAGTTTAGCGATGACTTTCCCGATCTACTAATTTAGATGGTAAATTATACAAGTTTGAAAGCAGGCTATACAATTTAATGTACCGCTTCTAGATTGCACTTTCAGATTGTATTAAACAAAACCATTGCATATTGCATGCGCTATGGGCAGACGAACAATAGCCAAACTGCTTATGAAATCACATTGTAAACACAAATAACAAATATACAAATTGACGCCTCAATGGATATAGCATCACGAAAGCAACAAAAGGAATTGTACGGATTATAAGTTCTAGCAATTCGACGCAAAGTTTTTATAAATAAATTGTAAACCAAGAGGAAATTCCGAATGATATTATATTTTCTCCATATGGTTGTCAGTGTCGTTGTAACTCTCGCATACATATTCTTATCTTATTTAGAGCCCGTATCAAAAACAAAACATGGAGATGACGAACAATACTTCTTCGATTTAGCTGGCATCTTAAAAAAAGGCCGAAATATCTAATATGACCGAAAGACCAAACAAAAGGTAACTTAAAAAAAAAATAATTATTTTGTACTTTAAATATTGATAATTCTTACAAGATTCAAAACTTTAAATAACCGAACAGATTTATAGGTGTTTATATCTTCAGGGAACTTGAAATACAAAATTACAAATAATCTCATAGAAAATGGGTCTTAATTCTTTAGATCTCTTAAAATCGGGAAGTCGCGTAATAACAATTTTTGGGAGGAGAGAATTTACACTAGAAGGGCCCGAAATATTAAAAAGCAGCTGTTCGAAATTGATGCGTACTGCGATTCAGGGTAGAATCTTGGAAATGCCGATAATTAGAAGATACCGTTGAATGGGGCTTTACTTAAAGGCAGAGTTACAACAAATGTATCTGACTTTATTTCAAAAGATAATTGAAGGTCGATAAATAGTCGAGTTAGTATTCCATTCATTTTATGGCGGAGACTATAATAAGTCTACTTTTAAAGAATAAACTTTGTAATTTGCATTGTTTGTTGGATTATTTATCCCATCGAAATTGACGCGTACTGCGACCGGCTATTGAGGGCAGAATCTTGAAAATACCTAGTATTTGATTTAGTATTCCATTTAGCTTATGGCTGAGAGTATAATAAAGAACAAATTTTTATAATTGCATTGTTTGTTTGTAACGAATTTGCCGCAGTAAAATTGAAAGTAATACGACAAGTAGGCCTTCACTTACCTACAAAAAGACACAATTAATTGAAACCGCACAATATCTTCTACGAAATTAAATAATATAAATAATAAAAATAAAATAAATAACTATATATATAGAGGACAACAACGGCGACAACATCATCAGCGGAGCGGACACCCACAACATAAAATGGAGTCTCTATTTATACAATTGTAAGATAATAAATATTGAATAATATATTTATTAATATTAATAACACAAATCGAGTGTTTGTGTATGATAAATATTATATAGTGAATCATAAAGATCTTAATAAGAAGTAAGTGGCTGCTAGCAAAAATTGGTTTCGATAATATTTAAAACTAATTCCGCTTGTTTTTTTTTTCGAAATTCGTGAAGATTTTAAAAAAAAGCCTGTTCGTTTTTTTTCTGATATTAATGAATAATCGCGATCTTGACCAAGAAGTAGAATTTATAACAGATTCCTTCAATCAAATTCCTGTAGACAAAAGATCTGACAATAATATTATAATGGGAACTACCGCAGAAAGCATACGTGTGCTTGTTGACTCTGCCATTTCGGCGGCTTTGAAAATTCAATGACAGCAACTTTGAAGGCAAGCATGAAACGTACGTTTCATGGCGCCAGGCTGCTCATACAGCTTATAAGTTGTTTGAGCCTTACGATGGAAGTTCTAAACACTATCAGGCAGTAGCAATAATTCGAAATAAAATAAAGGGTCAAGCCGATATGGTGTTATACTCATTCAATACAGTGTTAAATTTTAAGGCTATTATTGCCCGACTGGACGTTACTTATTCGGATAAGCGTCCAAATTACTTAATTGAGCAAGAGTTGTCCACTCTTCGTCAGGGTAATATGACGTTACTAGAATTCTATGATGAAGTAGAAAAGAAACTGACATTACTTACCAACAAAACCACTATGTCATATGAAAGTGTTGTCGCAAACTGTATGAACGAAAAATACAGAATGAATGCGTTACGCGTTTTCATTTCTGGCACAAAAAAAGGATTTGAGTAATGTATTATTTTCCGCTCGTCCATCCGACTTACCATCAGCATTGGCATTGGCCCAAGAGTTTGAGTCAAATCGGGAAAGATACCAATTCGCGTCAAACTTCGCTAAATCACGCGAGGACAGAGATAAGTATAAGTATGAAACACATTTCGCACACGGAAATGTTCAAAGTAAAAATCCGTAATTTTCTAAAAGAAATTCAAATCGTTCAAACAATAACGAAAATAATCAAATAGAACCCATGGAGGTCGATGAATCTATGCGATTCAGACAATCAACTAAATTCAAGCCATCTACACAGGGCTTACCTCAGAATCAATACGATCAAAATCAGAACCTACCACAGCCGTTCCAAAATCGACCAAATTGGCAGGCCGTGAAAAGACCCAACAGTGGTACGGCAAAATACACTGGGCTAAAACATCAGAGAATTAATCACATTTCTCAAGATGAGTCCGGATGTGCGGTCTGCCATCAAATGGCAGAAACTGAAGCAGACGATATTGTAATCGATGCTGGGGATGAATTTGACCAGATTAATTTTTTAGGCACAACTCCCTGCTCCATTTATAGAAAGGAAAGTGGCAGGGAAAATCATAAAATTGCTTATTGATACGGGGGCTTCGAGGAATTATATCAAACCTATAAAAGGTTTAAAAGGTATTATTCCCGAAGCCAACCCGTTCATAGTGAAATCTATTCATGGTTTCACAGCAATTAAGGAAAAATGTACCATAAATATTTTTCAAACCAATAGTAATTTTTTTATCTTACCATCACTATCAACGTTTGATGGTATAATTGGCCTGGATCTATTAACACAGACAGGTGCAACCTTGAATTTTGAAAGTAGGGAACTTAAAACTACAGTTGGGATCGAAAAGATCAAATTTTTAAAATGAGTAAATGTAAATTTTATACACGATGAGGACATGAAAATGCCTCAAATCGTTGCGGAAAAATTTAAGGAAGTGATAAAAAAATTTTCGGGTGTTTTTGCAAACCCCAAAGAATCACTTCCATATAATACGAATATTGTAGCTACCATTAGAACTAATTCTAGTGATCCCGTTTATACAAAACTATGCCCATATCCCATGGGTGTAGCAGATTTTGTTAACAATGAAGTAAAAGAACTTCTGCATAACGGCATAATACGGCCTTTCAGATCACCCTACAATAATCCCGTTAGGGTTGTTGATAAAAAGGGCAAGGATGAATACGGTAATTCCAAAAAACGATTAGTTATAGACTTCAGGAAACTTAACAGCATTACGATCGATGACAAATACCCAATATCCCAAATACCCGTCATTCTCTCAAATCTTGGCAAAGCAAGATTTTTTACGACACTTGACCCTAAATCAGGTTTCCATCAAATAACACTATCTGAACAAGATCGTGAAAAAACTGCATTCTCAGTTGGAAATGGAAAATATGAATTTTTCCGTCTTCCTTTTGGTCTGAAGAATGCCCCAGCATTTTCCAAAGGGCCATCGACGATGTCCTGAGAGAGCAAATTGGAAAGTTATGCTATGTTTACGTCGACGACGTCATTATTTTCTCTAAAACCGATGAAGACCATGTGAAACATATTGAGTGGGTACTGGAGAGATTATACGGGGCCAATATGAGAATTTCTCGGGAAAAATCACATTTCATTCGGGAAAGTGTCGAATACCTCGGTTTTTTTGTGTCCAGAAATGGCATCAGAACGAGCCCGGAAAAAGTAAAGGCCATCCTTAATTATGAAACACCTTCTACACTCTTCAACGTAAGGTCGTTTCTAGGATTGGCAAGTTATTACAGATGCTTTATTAAGGATTTCGCTTCTATCGCCAAGCCGCTAACAGATATTCTAAAGGGCGAAAACGGCAAGATTAGTGTTTCTCAATCAGAAAGGGTGAAAATAAATTTTAATGAAGAGCAAATGCAGACCTTTAGAAAATTTAAGGAAATCCTTGCTTCTGAAGAAGTAATGCTTCTTTATCCTGACTTCAAAAAACCTTTTGATCTTACAACAGACGCCTCTTCATTGGGTCTGGGAGCAGTTCTCTCACAAGGGGGGAGGCCAATCACCATGATTTCCAGAACCCTTAAAGATAAAGAGCAAAACTATGCCACTAATGAGCGAAAGCTATTAGCTATTGT